TGTAGCCGCGCGGCACGGGGTTCGAACAAGCCGGCTTTTAAAAATGGCGGAGCCGGCTTTATGCTAATGAAGCCCAGGAAATTCAAATCCCGGGCTTCATTAGCAAGTTCGGTATGCATACATTACCCCCCTAGTTCGAACTAGGGGGGTAGTGTAGACATACCCTGCTATCTCTTTCATGTTTCAGGTGGAAGATATCCCAGGAAGCATTTGTGAAGAGTTTTGACCCAAGTGTCCTTCCAAATGTAACTCATATACTCTTTGAAATGAATTGGAACAATCGCAGAAGGTCCTGGCAAAGATGGGTGTGTAGTGACGGCAGTGAGCATGCTGAAGTACACTTCCTGGAGTATGTTTTAAGAAAGTTAAGATATAATTCTTCTGTTCACTGCTCAATCACCTGTTACATGTCCTGGAGTCCCTGTGGGGAGTGCTGTCAGTATATCATGGATTTTCTGCAGAGAATGCCTTATGTTAATCTAGACATTTACGTAGCACGACTCTACTGGCACAAAGAGGAAAACAATCGTAATGGTCTGTGGAACTTGAATATGGAAGTGCCCATCTGGATCATGGACCTCCAAGGTAATGACTAAACCTCCCAGGAGTTAGCTCATGGGATTACAGGGTCTGAATGGTTCAGAGGGCATTAAGGGTTTGTCTAGACTACTTCCCTCTGTCTTCAGAGGGATGTAAATTAGACATACCGAAATTGCTAATAAAGCGGGGATTTAAATATCCCACACTTCATTAGAATAAAAATGGCTGCTGCTTTTTGCCGATACGGCTCTTTGCCGGCAAAAAGCAGCAGTCTCTAGACGGGGTAATTTTTATCCCTCTGGCGACAGAGGGATGTAATCTAGGCATACCCTAAGGATGGGACTGAGGGCATTTTTCCTCTAGGTCATTGGTTCCAATTAATTCCTGGTCAGTGACCTTGCATGGCTCAGCTGAAGTTGTAATATGGATTCTGGAACCTCTCTCTTCTGGATCAACAATTCCAGTCGGTCTTGGGGGGCTTATGCAATGGGATGCTGAGTTTTGCATCTTTAGGTTTATGACTGGAAAACACTATCCAACAGCTATTTTTTTGCTGTATGTTAAATGAGCTGGTGGTTGCAGGCAAATTCCTAGCAGGGTAGGTGACAATCACTAACATCTCTATCCCTTCTGGCACTTACTTGTCCCCTTGTCTCAGCAGAGAGACAGACAAGAATGTGCCACAAACAGTGAAACCTTTTTTCCTGCCAGAGGCATTATACATCAGTGAGCGGGGGTGGGAGGTGCAGCTCACAGAACACCAGTCTGTTTCATGGTGCAGCCAGTCTGGCACATTTCCGCATGTCAGTTTCACCTGAGAACGTTATATTTAAATGTGGGGGCTTTTCTTTCCAGCTGCCTTTTAATCCGGCCCCAGTGTACAATGGACTCATGTGCTGCTGCTGCTAATTTTGAAAACATAGATGCTATTTTACACACCCCTCAATACCCGGATGACCCATCCCTTGTTAATAAGAGAGGGAAATGCAAGGTGTGTTTAATGAGGCCTCCCTTGAACAGAGAGAAGGAAAAGGCCAGGAGCACATGAGTTCCAAGTGCTGTAGTATCCTTGGCTCCCATAACTGGTCCTTCCTTAGAGTAATGTGTCTCCATGGCAGAAACCCAATACAGGGGCTCCCTTCCTTCAGCCTGAGTGATCTCAAAGTGGCACTTACATTTCCCTCCACACATGACTGACTGGTTCCATTTCCCCAGCTTATAACTACTGCTGGAGTATGTTTGTTTGGGATGAGGACAAGGATGAAGAGGATTATTATCCCAGGCACTTTGCTCCCTGGATTATGCTGTATTCCCTCGAGCTCCAGTCCATCCTTCAGGTCTGTAGAACTTCTGGGAGCAGAAAAGTGCATCTAGAAATGGTTCATGGGCACAGGCATAACCCAGAATCTGAGCTGGGCATTTTCTGCCAATTGTGGGTGCGTGTAAGAGGGCAATTGCCCAGGTGATTTAAAAGGGCCTTGGGGCCTACCACCACTGCTCTCGGCAATGCAACAGGGCTAAGGCAGGAGCCACTGACAAAAGGGTGTGCTGCATCAGTTTCGGGAGTTCCCCTCTGTCCTCTTCCTGCAATCCAATCACCTGTTCCACATTCTGCATCCAAACTCCCTTCCAGAGCCTGCACCCTTCATTCCCACCCTCACCAAAACTCTCCACCAGAACCTTCATCCCCTCCCTCACCCAAACTCCCTGCCAGACCTTGTACCTCATATCCCCTGGAGGACCCCAAGCGCTGCTCAAGCCTGGTGAAATTGAGTGAGAGTGGGGGAGAGTGATCAACAAAGGGCAAAGAGGGAGTGAGCCGGGGGGTGGAGACTCAGAGAAGGGACAAAACGGGCAGGGCTGCAAGAAAGGGGCGGGGCAGTGTTCCCTCTAAAATTTTCCAGCATGCAGAGTGAGTTTTGGTTTGTGCACCAATATTGAGGTCCTGTGCACTGGTTTGGATGTGTGCCACCGTGGCACCCAATTTATTAACACACATGCATTCCCAGCTGCCAGAGCAGAAACCCCTGCCTCCGCCATGCGGCATGTTCCATTCCCAGCCATCAGAGCAGACTTCCCTCCCCCGCCATGCGGCAGGTCCTGTTCCCAGCCACCAGAGCAGACACCCCCTCCACCATGAGGCAGGTCTTGTTCCCGGCGCCAGCCACCAGAACAGGCTCCCTGCCAGGTGTCAGCCCCAGCCACCTGCCAGTGGCTCCCTCACCACTCCATCTTACCATGCCAGAGCAGTCGCCTGCCACACAAGTGCTGCTGTGCAGCTCTCCAGAGGAGGTGGGTGGGAGAAGAATGTTTTGTGCCCACTTTGTTGGGGGTAGGGTCATGCCAAGGGTCTTTGGGTCTGCGTGATTAGATAGTTGGCAGCCTTACCCAGTGGGCATATGGAAGCCCTGGCTGTGCCGGAAAAATACTGCCCAAATGTCAGGTGGACCTTGTCCCCGTGGGTGTGGCTTGTGCATGTTTGGGGGCCCATTAACTGTTTTGCCCTGAACTGCTGATGGCCAGCCTGTCCTTGACCTCCTTTGAGCTGGTGGTTTCAGGCTGGTGGTTTTGTGAGAGTTTTGCCTGTGGCTGAGCTATAACACATGGTCATTCCCAAATGAGCTCATGGGGATGCTAAGAGGACAGGAAAAGATTCCTCACATCTTTTGTAGAGTTTAAACGACTCTGTGATTTGCTTTATTGCAAAACAGTATAAATATAAAAAGGATCTTGTCCTTTTATGGGGCAAATACAATAGGGTTTTCCTGAGCCAAAGAATAAAGCAAGTCAGTATGCCTAACCAAGTTCAAGAGAGGGAAATCCCCCCTCCCCACCCATTTTTCTGTCTGATCCCATCCTCGATCTAGAGAATATTCTTTCTGACCCTCCTTTGCAGACTCAGCTTCCAACTCTACACAGCACATCTTTCTCTCAGGGCTCAGCTACACCAGGAAAACTTGTCAGGCCTCCCATCCCTCTACCTGATCTGGTTAACCCCTTTTGTTGCTAATGTCTGGGTGAGGTTGTTTCCTCCCAATAACGGGACCCTTGAATGTTCCATTCAACTCCCCTGAAATCTCCATGTCCAAATCTCCAGTGCCAGTGGTTGGTGTGCAGTCCACAATCAGTGCATGATGAGAAGAGCTGGTCAAAGAATGGAATTTCTGTTCTGTGAGAAATTCCAAGATTTCTTTTCGTTCTACATGAACACCATTCTGGCCTTGAGAAACCTTCCCGGAAAAGCTTTGTCATAATAGATAAATTCTGCACCACATTTTGGTTACAATGAATTTGCAATTTCTGATGAAAAATTATTCAGTTTGAAAATTCCCAAGTAACTCTAATGCTGAATCTCTACTCAAGCACATCTCATCTAAAGAAGTGGGGTTGCCAACAAAAGCTCACAATTCTCTCTCTATATATATATTTGTTAGTCTCTAAGGCAGTGATCTCCAACCTTTTTAAGCATGAGATGACTTTTTTGAATTTAAGTGCAATCCAGGATCTACCTCAAACCCAAATCCCCACGCCCAATCTCCTTCGTGCCCCTTCCTCGAGGCCTCACCCCTGCTCACTCCATCCTCCCTCTCTCCCCCCTCCTTCCCTTTCATGAGTCTGGGGCAGAGGGTTGGGGTGCAAGCTCTGTTCTTATGTTAAGGGATTTGGAGTGTGAGGGGCTCTGAGCTGAGCCTGGGGCAGGGAGTTGGGGGGCAGGAGGGCATTCAGGGTACAGGCTCTGTAAGGGAGTTTGGATCTGGGGGGGACTCAGGGCTAGGGCAGGAGCTTGGGGTGCAGGAGGCAGTTTATGACTGGAGAAGGGGTTCAGAATGCAGGCTCCAGCTGGACACTGCTTACCAGAGGTGGTACAGTGGGGCTAAGGCAGACTCACTACTGCCTTGGCCCTGCACTACTCTCAAAGGCAGGCAGCAAACTCCCTCCCAAGTCCTGTTGTGCCCCCCTCCATTCTGTGGAGATAGACCACAGGATGGGAGAGGGAGCACCCTGACATTAGTGCCCCCTTCTCTTCCTTCCCTGCCCAGCAAGCAGGGGATGCGAGGGGAGGGAGGAGGACAACTCCAAAGCAAAGGGCAGGAGGTACACACCTTCTCTTCCTTCCCTGCCCAGCAAGCAGGGGATGCGAGGGGAGGGAGGAGGACAACTCCAAAGCAAAGGGCAGGAGGTACACAGCAGGGGAAGGGCAGCTAAAGTGCCGGCATTTAATAGCCTCTTGGCCAAACCAGTCAGGATCACCTGTCAGAGGCTCCAAGATCTACCAGTAGATCCCGATGTACTGGTTGGTGACCAGTGCTCTAAGGTGCAATAGGACTACTCATTGTTTCTGACCATGCCTGGGAACCCCTTTGAACTCACCAGGATTCTGAATGAAGAGATTAATATTACAGGTGCTTGCATTTACAAAGAGCTCCTGTCATGTCCATTAAATCCTAGAGTGAGTCCAAATTACAAATGGTAAGATGCCGACGTCAAGAAAATAATTAACTTCAGCTGTTTTTTCACCAGAACTTTCCATCTTGCTTAGAGATTTCAATCAAGGCGGACAAACCTCCAATTTTCAGCCTATGTGTAGAAGATGAAGAACAGAAAAGAGCACTCACAGCAGAAACCAACTGACAGGAAACATCACCCACATTAAAACTGTAGAATTGGGGGAGGGGAAGAGGGTGCAGCCAGAGTGGGTACAACAGAGTGTCCCTGTGCCACTGCTCTGCTAACACAGCATGTTTTCTCATGCATGAGCTGACAGAACATTAGTATGTGTAATCATTGTAATTTGATTTAGTTACGCGTAGCCACTTCCTTCCTATTGCCTCAGCTTCTAGCTTTTTGAAAGTGTATTATGTTTAAATGCTTAATGTTGTCCAGTGACTGGTCATGTTAACTCCTGTGACCCAGTGTACGGGTTCACACAACTTGTTTATTCTGCAGCCAGTTCTCTTTCACCAAATGAACATCTTTTGTACTATATATTTGAGAAATGTGCATCTGTCAGGCTGCAGGATGGAGGGGGCCACTGCCCAAGCAAGACACACCCCTAGCCCGACCTCCAGCCCCACTCCTTCTGCTAGGCCCTGCTCCTATCCCCTAGGCGACACGTGTGCTCCCCCCTTCCAAACACGGGGAGGGGAAAGGAGTGGGCACATGCATGCTTGCCATAGTCTCCCCAGCCCCGGTAGAAGGCACACCACACTGCACAGCCGAGCCCAGCCCAGCCTTGAGCACCGGAAGAGGGAGGAGGCACGGCATGCTGTGCCGTATAGCCCAGCCTGGCCCAGCTTCTTCAGCCCTGGAGCACTAGGGAGGGAGGAGGCAGGACGTGCCGTGCTATCCAGCCTGGCTCAGCCCAGCCTTTCCAGCACTGGAGGACTGTGGGAGGGAGGAGGCAGGGTGTGCTGTGCCACACGGTCCGGCCCAGCCTCAGAGCACTGTGGAAGGGAGGAGGGCATGCCATGCACCCAGGCCAGTTCCATTATTTTCCCTAGACACAAATAATGTCTGAGGGGGAAAGCATCAGTGGGTGGCAAGAGATGGAATGCTCCTCACTCAACCCTCTCCAACCAGGGATTGCACAGCAGCCTGTGCACATGGCTGCATATAGAGCGCCAGTCCAGAGCAGACAGCTGCATGAGGCTGCCACAAAGGAACCTTGCGCTCCTGCTCAGAAGGAATCTGGAGAAGCTTGCCATACTCCCGACTCTGTGGTGCGATACCTTCCCATCACACGTGACCACTCAGGGTGACCACTCAGGCGACTGGGGTCATGGACACACACAGCAGTGCCGCACATGGCACAGGCTCATCCCTCCATTCCCGGGACAGCATCCATTCCTGGGCAAGCACTGCGAGGTGGAGGACACCAGACACCAGGCCCTGCAAGGGAGCCTGCTGGGGATGGAGGAAGTGGATGGAGCTCCAGTAACAATCTCTCTGTCAAGCAGCACCTGCCACTCACAGACACCTTCCCCCCACAGCCTCCCCCTTCTCCAGCTGGCAGAGATAGAAGTCCTATCCCTGTGAGATACCTCCACTGGCAGACATAGCATGTGCATGACATGGAGGAAAGGTGAGCCGCCTTATCCCACCAACAGACTCCGAGCCTGCCCAGCATCTTCCCCTGTGTGTGTGGACTTATCCCTAGTCTACAGGAGAACCCATCCCACCACTTCACCTTCAGCACATCCATTACCCTGCCTTCCACTGGGGCAGCCTGTGTGTTGGCTCTCCCAGAGTGGGCAGGGGGCAGGACTTGTACCAGCCACCATTCCCTCCCCAGGTGAGCAGCCTATCCCCTCCCCCACTCCAGAACCCATCCCACCAACTTTCCTTTCCTTCAGGGCTACCTTTATCCTGCTTTTCACTAGGGCATACTGGGTGTTCGACTGTCCTTTCCAACCTGGGGGAGGGGCAGGACTTGAACCCTCCATCCTGCCCTTCCCAGAGCCCACCCCACCAATTTAATTTACCTTCACAGCATCCCTGACCCCACCTTCCACCTTCTAACCAGGGTAGGGAGTGGATGTTGGAAGTCACATCATCTCCCGGGAGCAGGTTTTAAACCACCACCCTCCACCCCTCAGGCAAGTGACCTATCCCCTGGGCCACACCAGAACCCACCGCACCACCCCTTCCCTTCCCTATGTCCCTTATCTCATCTCCACCCTGGCAGCTGGGGGGAGGGGGAAGGAGCAGGTCTTGAACCTGCCACCCTACACTCCAGAGGTGAATGCCCTAGCACCCTAACTAGAACACCTCCCACCACCTTACCATCAGGGCATCCCTTATCCACCTCCCTCAGGGTCAGCCAGAGTGTTGCCTGTCTCTTCACACCCCAGGACAGGATTTGAACCCACAACCCTGCCCTCCCCAACCCATGTTAGAATCACCACACCTTCAAGGCCTCCCTTATCCTGCTTGCACTCAGGCAGCCTGCATGTTGCATGCCCCTTTGCTCCCTGAGGAGGGTGGGGGGTTGTTTGAACCCACCACCCTACATTCCCCAGGCGAACATCCGATCCCTTAGCCCATGCTAGAACCCACCCCACCAACTTACTTTTGGGGTGTCCCTTATCCCGCTACCACCTGGCCGGCTGGCCAATCTTGAACCCACCACCCTGTGCTCCCCAGGTGAGCCCCCTATCGCATGATGGAATCCACCCCACCACCTTACCTTCATGGTGTCACTTATCCCACCTCCATCCAGACATCCAGGGTGGGGGTGGGTGGGTCTTGAACCCCTCATCGTGCCCTCCCAAGGTGAACACCCTGCAAACAGGCACCAAGATCTTGGTTTACAAGGTAATTACCAATGCCACCCTTCTCTACAGGTGTGAGACCTGGGTAAACTACAGGTGACATCTCAAGCTGTGGAATGGTTCCAACAGCGCTGCCTCAGAAAGTGTCTGAGGATCCTAACAGCAGCATTGCCACCACAGCCAACACCAAGTGAAGTGAAGAAGTGAACATCATAAAACACTATTTCTGTTGTGTACAGTGTTGCCAATACCATACACCAAGCCACCACTCCTTTGGAGGAGAACAGGTGTGTGCATGACACAGAGAAGCGACAAAGGAGAAAAGAAAGGGCACCACAATCCAGCCACCAACTAGGTCTCCTTCAAGATTACACTTGTCACTTCTGTGGGAAAATCTGCAGGACATGAAGTGGGGTCCTCAGCACCTTAAAACTTGTCAATGTAACCTGACTTCAAGTCACATACATAGGAGGACAAATACACACTAATAGCAGTGGGGAATACAAAGCCTTGGGCCTCATTCACACATAATTATTTTGCTTATTGTAACAACACAGACACTACAAGGACAAAGAATACACAGTCCTCCTTGTTAGAGTTTGTATGGGATATTGTGGGGAAAGAAGCTAACTCTAACATCAGGCCATTGAAGTTGGACCTACTGATTCCCACTGGAGCTTACCACTTAAAGCCCAGACAAAGGTAACCCCCGAGGTGTGGCACTCATTTGTTAAACAATGGCCATCGCTAACTTGCCCTCATTTGGATATTATTAACCAGATCTGCAAGGACAAAATAGAACCTCCCGAATGTGTGTCATGCCCCGAACAGACCCCTGTCCCAGAACCAGGGCTGGTAATGATAGGACCAGTGTTGCCAGTCCTCACCTTGTTGATGTTCCACACTTATTGGTCGAGGTCCTCATTGCCCTACAGGGTATAGACCAGCAGTGTACCAGATTGGATAATCAAATTGGCAAGCACCTGATTCGGCAACAACGGGCTTAGCAGATACCATTGCAGGCTGGTTTGGGCTTGGGAACTCTGTCAGTAATATCCAATGCCTGTGGAGGCCTAGATACCAGCCTAGCCAACCAATTAATCCTACACAGTTTGAAGGATTTGTCCAGCTCTGTGTACACTTCACTAGACATAACCAGATATTTGGACCAGAGACTAACTGGATTGTTAATTAATGAGACTAAATTAAAGGAATTAAAAGACCAGTGTTGGAGAATAGAGCAAGCTTTATCCACTACTATCCAGGGAATTGTAATTGATCTATTGGATGTCCGAGTTCATCCAGCCATTATGCAGGTGGTGAGTCCCCATCTTCCCTGTACTCATCCATGAGAGTGGGGAAGTAGAGAATCTATGTGGACCCAGAGGCCCACTTGGACAGGCCATAGTATAACCTTTTGCCTTTGCTCTCGTTTGCTGGAGAGAACTGCCCCAAACAAAGGAGGGAAAAACCAAAAATTCCTTTGTCCCAGTTTGAAATTCCTACCTATGTTCCTATTGGCCACTCCACCTGGCTAGGTAAGGGACATAGTTAACCCCCTAGTCCCCAGGCTGCTGGCTAACCCTCATGATCATGACATAGCTCCTCTGGGCATTCCTTACTAGCCAGAATGGTAACCTCCCTGCCTGTACCAAAGCAGGGGCATATAGTTAGAGTTGAGGGCATCGCTTATTCTGAAGGTGTGAGGGACTCCCTGGACCCCAGAGACTGTTGCACCCACTCTGATAAGGAAATCTTATGTACCTGCTGCCTATATAACATCATGACAACTCTGTCTAGGTTTGTCACAGCTTCTCTTGCAATTGCACAAAATAAATGGCCTCTGGCTTGTTGCTTACTAAACTCAGAGTGAGGACCGTGTTTTCTTCCACACCTCGATGTGTTACACTGCTGTGAAGCCAGCTGGCTGCTGTTCGTACTGTGAGTGGGGCTCTTCTGTGCCTGGTTCCAGCCATCGGCGTTAGATGTGAGCTCTGAGCTTTTGCTTGCCAAGGCAGGGCAGGTGGATCCCTGAGGCAACCTTACAAAGAGAAGTCCCCTTGCTACTGGCCGCATGACTATGTACTGTTCTCCTGGGGGCTGGCTGCTCAGACCTGGGGGGAGGAGGGTCCTGCTACTCTCAGAGGGTCAGGTGTGGGCCAGGAGCTATCAGCCCCCAGGGTCTGTGGCTCTGGGGGTCCCCTGGCTCAGGGTCCCCTCCTTTCCTAAATTTTCTAAATTTTCTTCCTCCAGTTTCTTGAGCAATGCTGGGTAAGTCCAGCTAGTAACAGATAAATAGTAACAAATGATTGGAGGGTGCAAATTTTGTCTTTGTCCCAGGGCACATAACACTCTTGCTACGCCTCTGACCCAGACCCTACTGCATCCCCCTGAGGATTCCTCCATGTCCCCCGAGGGTGGTGCGCCCCACAGTTTGGGGACTGCTGCACTAGCCTACAGTAAGAATCCTTTAGGGAGCCTGGGCAGCTGTGGGGAGACCCAGGTCCTCCACCTGTCCTGGGAGGAGGGTCGGGGTTTCTGAGAGCAGCCTGAGAGCAGCCCCCAGCCTATGGTCCTGCCACCACAGGATACACCACCCAGGGCAAGACAAAGGTCTGGGGCTCCCCAGAGCAGTTTGGGCTCCATGGGCAGGTCAGACCAAGGCCCAGTTTCTGGCCAGGTCAGAGGGGAAGGAGTTCAGGGAAGGGGAGGAGCAGGGGACTGGGACCCTGAGGCAAAGGTGGGGCCCACATCGTCTTTGTGCCCAAGGCCCCAGTAAATCTTAATCTGACTCCAGTTCTGCATGTGACTCTGGATCATTTCTTCATGTAAATGTCCCCTCCCGGAAGTTCTACTGACCTGAAGGATGGACTGGAGCTCGAGGGAATACAGCATAATCCAGGGAGCAAAGTGCCTGGGCCAATAATCTTCATCCTTGTCCTCATCACAGACAAAGGTTCTCCAGCAGTAGCTATAAACTGGGGAAATGGAACCATTCAGACACGTGCGGAGGGAAACGTCAGTGCACTCAGTGTCCTCGCGGCTCAGTCAGTCTCAAGGGAGCAAGACCAATGTGAGCCATGCGCAACGATTCCTCTGGGTCTCCCTTGGGCAGTACCAGCTCAGGACACGACAGGTTTGGGCCTCATGATCTCTTGGCCTGTTCCTCCTTTCTGTCCAGGGAAGGCCTCATTACACCAGCCCTGCAAAATCTCATTTAGCTGGGATAAGCCCACTCTGTTTGCAGCAGAGACTAAAATATCGTCTGTTTCTTCAGGATGGGCAGAAGCAGCACTGGCTGAGCTGATTTACTCTCGGGTCAGATTAACCAAAACTGCAAAGGCTGCCCCGACCTTTAACTACAAGGCTTTGTTCTCCAATGGAGCTGCAAGATGGCAGGTGGGCTGCGCCGGACGCCGCTGCTCTTCCCTGCTTACGCCCTGAATGGGCCAATAGAGACAGTGGCAGAGCCGGGCCAGCCCTACCCACGCACATGGCTCGTCAGTGGCCCACTCTGATTTCCACCGCCTCTGGCAGTCAAAGGGGCTTGTCTCTTCCTGGCAGACTTGCGCCTCAGCCTCTCTGCTGAGACAAGGTGGTCAGCTCAGAGTCCCACTGCAATATCACCCAAGACTTGGAGCCTGCTTGGAACCACTGACCTAGAAGAGAAAAACTCCTTAATCCATTCTACAACCTCAGTGGAGCCATCTGTGACCAGGGCTGAACTGGAACCAGAGACTTAGAGGAAAAATGCCCCATGTTCCATCTCTATCCCATCCTGTCCCCCAAACTCCATGTGTCATTACCTGGGAGGTCCATGATTCGGATGGTCACTCCAATGTTCACCAGGCTCCGTAGACCCTGGCGATTGTTTTCTTCTTCATGGCAGTAGATCCGTGCTACATAAATGACCAGATTGACATTAGGCTGTTCCTTCAGGAAATCCCTGATTGCCTTGCAGCATTCCCCACAGGGACTCCAGGACATGTACCAGGTCAGGGAGCAGTGGTCAGACGGATCATATCTTTGCCTATGAAAGACATCTTCCAGGAAGTAGATTTCAGCATGCTCGGTGCGGGTGCTATGACAACATCTCTGCGTAAGCTTTCTGCTATTGCTCCACTTGACTTCATAGAGCAGGTATTGCACCCTTCGAAGGACGCTTGGGTCATAACTGTCTATATATGTTTCCTGCTCTATCTTCCCCCTGAAACATGAAAGAGATCCCAAGTAGTCACTGACCGCAGCTTTGTCTTTGATAGCTCACCAGTCACGGCCAGTTCCAAATGATAGCTATGGAGCTGCGTGACAGGTAGATTGAAAGTGGAAAACACAGAAGGGTAGAGGGAGACTAAGAGAACAAGGGGGGAAGAGAGAGAGGCAGGGAGATGAAGAGTTAAATCTGACATTCCAGTGATGAGCAGGGATCAAGTTCTGAATCTTCCCAGCTCCCTCTTAGACTGTACATCTTGTGCAACTGGATACAGTGCTTCCATTCTCACCCCTGTGTGATGCCTCTCGACACATGAGCTGTAGGAAAGAGAACAGAGTTACCCAGTGCGCAGAGTGAGACACAGGACAAGTCATGAATGGCCTCGAAGATAAAGTGGTGGGGTGAGTGCCAGCATGCTGTAGGGGATTTGCCTAGGGAAGGCAGGCTGGTGGGTTCAAATCCACCCAGGAGTGAAGGGACATGCAGCAGCCAGGCTGCTGGGGTAGAGATGGGATAAAGGATGCCCTGAAGGTAATGTGGTGGGGTCGGTTCCTTTGAGGCTAGGGCTTTTGCCTTGGGAGGGCAGAGCCTTGGGTTCAAGACCTTCCTACCCCCACCCCAGAGTGAAGGGACAAGCAACACTCAGGCTGACCTGGAGGGAGGCAGGACAAGTGATGCCCTGGTGGTGAGGTGGGTTCTGGCATGGCTAGGAGATAGGGCATTCACCTGGGGAAGGAAGGGCGTTGGGTTCAAGAACTACCTGTCCCCCTTGCCATGCTGGGACAGATCAAAGGTCCTGCTATCTTGCCTTCCAGCAGTGGCCATAGGCCAGATGCCCCAGGGAGTGAACACAACAGGGAATCATCACATGATCTCTCTCCTGTCACTCATTTCCAGTCTCTGACAAACAGAGGCTAGGGACACCATTCCTACCCATCCTGACTAATAAGTATTGATGAATCTAACCACCATGGATGCAGGCCAGCCCACAAGGGGGGATGTGAAGGGTGTCAAAGCACTTCCATGGTCCCCCAAGTAAGCATGCCCTGACAAGGCAGGAGGAAGGCAGTAGCAGTGTACTGCCTGATCCTCCCTTTCCCATGCACTGACTGGCTGGGGCTGATTTTCCTGCTTACTTGGAGGACCATGAGGGGTGCATTCACACCCTTGTGGTCCACATTTACACACACACACAGAAATTCATGCATATGGGCCTGGAATGCATCTAGTTCTTTTTTGACTCCTCCGCCCCCTCTCCCCCCCCCCCCCCCAGCATTGGCCTGCTAAACTCAGGGTTGTGAGCCCAAACCTCATGGAAGCTATTTGGGGCAAAAATTTGTCCATAATTTTCAGAAACAGATGAACAATTTTGGAGGAAACTTCTGCCTTCCGCCCTTTAAAAAAAAAAAAAATTTAGCCTGAGGTTGACACCCAAAGAGAAATTTCAAAGTTATAGGCAACTAAAAACAAAATCTTGGTCTTCCAATGTACCCTCCCTGGAACCACATGTTCATACAATTCTTCATTCTCAGTGGACAATTCCTATTCAATATTGCTGATTATTGAAGCTCCTTGCAAATGTGCAGTGTCCTGAGGAACTTAGAAGTGATATGGTATCATCCTGGTCCCAAATATAGCCATTAAGTTTATTATGTGCACATGTTACAGCCAACACCCAGGCCACTCCAGTGGAAGGTGGGATAAGGGACACCCTAAAGGTAACCTGGTGGGTTCCAACCTGGGCTGGGGATTAGTGCATTTTCCTGCAGAGAGCAGGGTGGTCAGTTCAAGTCTTGCTGAACAAAGGGACATGTCACACCCAGGCTGCCTGGGTGGAAGGCAGCATAAGGGACACCCTAAAGGTAAGACAGGGGTGCATTCTAGCATGGCCCAGAGGATAGGGCATTCATCTGGGAAGGGCAGGGTGGTGGCATCAAGTCACACACAAGCATCTATACAGACAGGAAAATAAGACCTATTTTAGGAAAGAAGAGCCAATGAGCTGTAATCACAAATTGTTGCTATAACTGTGATCACACACATAGGCTGTGTCTAGACTGGCCAATTTTTCTGGAAAATCAGCCACTTTTCCGGAAAAACTTGCCAGCTGTCTACACTGGCCGCTTGAATTTCCGCAAAAGCACTGACGATCTCATGTAAGAAATCAGTGCTTTTGGCGGAAATACTATGCTGCTCCCATTCGGGCAAAAGTCCCTTTTGCGCAAAACTTTGGTGCAAAAGGGCCAGTGTATACAGCCCAGATTTGTTTTCCGCAAAAAAGCCCCGATCGCCATTTTTGCGATCGGGGCTTTTTTGCGGAAAAGTGCATCTAGATTGGCACGGACGCTTTTCCACAAAAGCGCATCGTTATAATGCGAACTCCGTGCCAATCTAGACACTCTTTTCCAAAAATGCTTTTAATGGAAAACTTTTCTGTTAAAAGCATTTCTGGAAAATCATGCCAGTTTAGACGTAGCCATACAGTATTCTTGTAATACTCATGTAACAAAATCATTTTACTGTCAGTGAACTTGTTTTCCTTTGCTAAGTCAGAAACTAGAAACACATTTTAGATGTAAAACACATAGAAAGAACAACTCTAATGTGTTTACCATGTATGTATCTCTCATGTACAGAGCCACAATAGCTGTACAGATAGGCATACATATATATGCCCTACAGATGCAAACAGATATATTCACCCATACATTGATATAGACATCAACAAACATAAATTAACTAAAAATTGTATTCAAACATACACACACATATATGTATACTTGCAAACACATGAACACACATCCACATATTAATGGTACTACTTTACCTCTGTCCCAACCGGCAGCCATGGCTTTCACTAACCACAGCCTCCAAGGTTGTTTGTTTTATAGGTGCATTTCTTCCCTTTCAGTTTCTATTTTTCAGAATAGAAACATAAAAGCTTTTTGTAAATAGGAGACTCCCTGACATACTGGGAGACATAGATAGTGTGGAAGCCAGTTGTACACAGCCAGTGAGGCTAAGCTGAGCTCTAGACCTCATAACTGATACAAAATAGTTACATAATGTATTCTTACATTTGGTCATTTCAGATTTGCTTGCAAATTATTCAATTTGAAGAGCTATTTATAAGGACTTTGATATACATGCTGCTTGGAGAATAATAGCTTCTACACAGATGTTTTTAGTTGCTTTGTTTAATTGAAGTGTTCAAGCTAATTACAGAAACTGCTAGAAATTGTGTGCATTCAGTCAGATGACACAGGCATGGAAAGCCGGAAGGGGTGAGGACGGTGCCCCCTTTTAAGGAATATGAAGATACTCTTTTTCTAGCCTCTCGGAGATAAGTGGGGTACAAAACCCCTGATCACAAAAGCTGAGCCAGGATCCTCTTCTTTTAACCCTTCTCTTTTTTGAGAGCAAAATGTCAATTTTAAGCTCACACAAGAGATTCCAGCAGCATTCTTATAAAAAACTGATTCAGTGGCTTAACTCTCCAAAGTCTTCATGTAACTTTAAGGGAAACTGATGACTAAAAAAGTCAGTGTCATGTCCTTGCATGAGCATCAAGACAGTTAAGATGCAGTGCCTCCATTTCTTGTTTCTTTAGATTATGAAATTTAATCATGTTTGGAATAAATGTACTTGCTGCTCACCAACTTGAAACAGCCCTTTTATCCCACTGTGACAAATTGGACTTGTGATGGGCATGTGGAGCAGTGGTGGGAATGGAAGGGAGCTACATGATATTTAGTGAAGGGGAAGAAATATAACCTTTGCCACAAAACTGGCATTGCTCCATGCATGGTAAAGCAACCCAAGCCCAGAACTACCATTGAAATTTTCCCCGCCCTCAGAACACACAGATTGGAGGCACCATAGCGTCCATATGTGTACAGGTGCACATGTGTAGAAAGCAACCTACATATGGATCTTGTCAGCTGGCCTGAGCAACTGGGCAGAGAGTCTGTGATCTATTACTGGTTTAGGAGCAGCGCAAGAATCAAGGAAAAGGGGAAAGCAGAGGAGTATGGTCAGCCAGCTAGATGCCAGTGAAAAGAATGGAGGGGAATCGTATCCAACTGGTTACATTCCCATCCCTTGATAATTTGATCATAATGAGGATCGTCAGACAGCAGCCCCCCAAAAACTGCTGATGGAGTTTGGTGACCTGTTGAACCAACAATCTGGTATACTAGCTTAAGTATATAAATACAATGAAATATATACCAAGAATAAAACAACAATGGGGTGCATGAAAGCCATTAGAATTCCTGAGGCTTTGGTGGACCAGTCCTTGAAAATGTCCCACAAATAGTGCTTGGTTAGGTCAGAACTCTTGTATAAGAGTTGAAGTTGCATAGCTTAATTTGACATTTGCCCTGCTGTGTAGACATGCCCTTAGGGAAGAGTGTATTTCTAACATAGGGCAGATTGAATATTTAAACCAAGATGTGGGTTTGGTGCAGCTTGCACATAAGTAAATAAGGGTATGTCTACACTACAGCACTAATTCGAACTAACTTAATTCGAATTAATTAATTCGAACTAAGCTAATTCGAACTGGTGCATCTAGACCTAAAACTAATTTGAATGAGCATTTTGCTAATTCGAACTAGCATGTCCACATTGAGTGGACCCTGAACTGAAGTTAAGGCTGCCCGGAACCAGTGCCAGCAGGGCATCAGGTTAGGACTTAGAGTATGGAGCTGCTGCCTCAGGCTAGCCGAGGGCTGTGCTTAAAGGGACCGGATCCCCACCCCGGACAGAGAATTCTCAGGGTTCCCAGCTTGCTTGTCTACCTTGATGAGGGACAGCAAAGCAGTCCTGTCTTGGAGTGCCCTGTGTGCCCACACTCGGCACATCACAGCACTCGGCCATCATCCCGGCTGCACTTGCCGCAGGCTGCCATCCGAGGGAGTCAATCAGGGGGGTGTCAGGATCCAGGAGGCTCTGCAGGAGAGCTTCCACCCTGAGGAGCCTGCAGAGCCACCGCAGTCCCCCCCATCGGGGGCTTGTGCCCCATTCCTCCCTCACCTCCTTCCATTTACCCCTCCCTAGGCCCCCTTCCTGATGTAAAAAATAAAGGACACGTGAGTTCAAAAATAGAAACTCTCTTTATTTAACAAAACTGGGAGGGGGGGGATTAACCTCTGGGGAGACTGGGAAAAGGAGGTGGGAGAGGGGAAGAGAGAGAGGGGGAGAGGGGAGGGGGAAACCTGGGAGGAGGGAGCTGGAAGGGGGAAGCCAGGGGAAGAAGGAGGAGGGGAAGTATAAAACTATGATATGCCATATCTTCAGTACAATGTACGAACGTGGTCTCCTCACCTCAAAAAAGATGTTATGGCCTTGGAAAGGGTTCAGAAAAGGGCAACTAAAATGATTAGGGGTTTGGAACGGGTCCCATATGAAGAGAGTCTAAAGAGACTGGGACTTTTCAGCTTAGAAAAGAGGAAACTGAGGGGGGATATGATAGAGGACTATAAAATCATGAAGCAAAATACAGGACTATGTAGCACTTTAAAGAATAACAAGATGGTTTATTAGATTATGCGCTTTCGTGGGCCGGACTCACTTCCTCAGATCAAATAGTAGAATAAAATAGTCACAACCATATATAAAATCATGAGTGGTGTGGAGAGGGTGCATAAAGAAAAGTTCTTCATTAGTTCCCATAATATAAGGACTAGAGGACACCAAATGAAATGAATGGGTAGCAGGCTTCAAACTAATAAAAGAAAGTTCTTCTTCACAA